ACTTTAACATTTTCTGTGGTTGCATACATTTTTATTGAAGGTTATCTCAGATAGGCTTGCACTTACTTATTAAGTTGATGACTTCAAATCAATGAGATTTCATATTGTTTGGAGCCAGTTGTCTAATTTTTTATTAAAATAAAGGCTGAAAACAGAAGTGTTTTTCTGTTATAATTGATGGATGTATTTTAGGGAGGCATTTTGTTTTAACCATGTTGAGTTCTTACTCTAATTTGCTTTATTGTCTTTGAAGCACAAATAAATGCTATTCTGAGTTTCAACCATTAACCCAATAGATTAGCCTCATCCCTTTCAGACTAGCTACCAATTGCTTAGTTCTTCATGAAAAATAATGTGAAAACATCTAAGTGCAGATAGATTGGTCTTGTGTAAAGTCTAGAGAGTACATGAGTGTATTCTCTTATCAAATAATTCTGGTAAGAGCTTTGACAGGAGGATGTCCCAATCAAGATTGTCAGTAGACAAGAATTTAAGCTCTTTCCTTTTTTCGTGTTGGCGACGACAGAACATTTCTGTACTTAGAATCTTTCCTTTGTATTGTCTAATAATTTTTTCTGAGAAACTCAACTTGGGGTTAATGGTAGCTATAAACATCAAAATTTATTTTAAGTCTATGATTTAACTACTTACAGACTGTAAGGCATCAATATAATCCATAAGTTTATTTTTAATGTAATCAGTGAAATAAGTTAAACATTTTAATAAGTTAAAGAATCTAGTTGTTTTCCTAAGATGATGACGTGTTTCCGGTGGGCGGTAAAATCCCAAGAGGCACACTTATCTAAAAGATAAGGAGCCAAAAAGGTAAACACTGACAAAATTATGTAAATAATTAGCTTTCAAACGCCTTTCTTCTTTAAGTATGACTTGGATAACTCTACTTACAAATTTGTAGTTGTTGATGTAACGGTAGCTTCTTTTTATATCTAACGGAACCTGAATCTAAACGGTTAATAACGGCATTGAAGCTAACATGGGAAATGTAGTTCAGCACAAAGTCTCTTTAGATTTACATGGTTTTGGTTGAACAAATGTGGCTACGTCTCGGTTTACTTTTCTCTTTTCCAGAAAAGAGCTGCAGTGTTTCTGAGCCTCATCATGAATGTCTTCTTTCTGCTGAGTAGCTTTGGCCTCGCCATCACTTCTGTAGGTGAGTTCAAACTAAAGTAATAACTATGCATTCAGTTCTGACTTCTCAACTAAACGTATTGCCTTTTTGGAAAAAAAAAAAAATGTTTTCTAGCTCAGCAATGTTCCAAACCCAGTGGAGGATCAAACATGCACTTGAGGGATGAGTACATTACAAAGAGCACGTTTGAAGATGGGGCCAGTGTCTCTTTTAGCTGTGCTCCTGGCTACACATCTGCTGGAGGGTCTCCGCAGATCACATGCTCATCTGGCGCATGGAGCGCTCTGCGGCTGAAATGCGAGCGTGAATATTGTCTACTAATTGCACTACTTATAATTCTGCAGTTGCAGTTGTAGCGTTGTTGCACTGCCAGTTAAAAATGTTAGTTTCTTTAATATACTCCTAACAAGCTGTAAGTCTGTCGTAAAGTGTTTTACAGTTATAAAAATCATTCTTTTTTGAAATGTACATGTACTTATTCTGGATGAGTGTAATTCCTGGTAATTGTGTTGTTCCAGGGAGGAACTGTGGCGCTCTTCCAGAAGTGAGTCGAGGTGATATTGAATATAAAGATGGGACTGAGTTTGGTGATACCGCTGTGGTCACTTGCAGATCAGGGTAAGTAGCACAATGGCATCTTCTAAGCAGGTTTTATGTTCTTATTTATCAGAGTGTAAAGTCACATTTAGTCACAATAAATTGGGATTAATCATCTTACTTTTGATTTTATTAGTCTGTAGCGGCGGATTGAACAGCCAGACGCAGGGAGTTTCAAACGGGTGCAATTTAATCTCAACCTTTCTTTCCATTGACACCGTAAAAACTGTAGCATAAAACAAAATAATACAGAACCGTTGGACATACTCGGCTCTTGTATAAAATCAACATATCAATATTCAGTTATACACAAAAAAAATACGTTATGTCCTTTAACTCGTTAATATACAGTTTCGTTTATAAACCACGACATTCTACTGTTTCTTAAATAAACCTATAACATTTCTTATTACAAATCACAATTACATATATTTATACCTCATTCTGCTTTCCGAGGGCGCTATTTTAAAGATTTTCTCCAGGTTTCTTTATAATCTAACGTCTCATCTCGCAGGGTGTTGCTAGGTAACCACAGAATAAACAAAGAACTCTACCGTTCTTTAAAATGAAAGCAAAATTAACCACTAGGAGTCACTGTTGGACCAATGAACAAGGAGAATTTTCCAATTTAGCAGTTATTTACATAGTCTTTAAGTAACCATGTAAATTTTACCCCACTCTTGCCTTAGTTAATGTTAGTTAATTAACTTAGTTAATGTTACTTTAGTGTAGTAGATAAATAACCTGTACAATTTTAAAATACTGTTCATTTTCTTGGGCTGAGGTTCGTAGCACTGTTGCCTCTCAATAAAAAAAAAAAAATCACTTTGGACTTGGGATTCCAGCCTGGGATTTTTTCAGCATTTCTCCTTTTGTATTCCAGCTCCTTCCCACAAGCCAAAAACATGATTGTTTGGTTAACTGGTCTCTCCAAATTGCCCTTTGGTCTGTTTGCCCACGGTTGTTAGTTCTGTGTGTGAATATGTGTCTCACTCTGTGTTGTTTTATTCAACTTCTGTATTTCTTCAAGGTTTTGTTGAGTAATGACACTATAGTGAATCAATCATTGCATTTCTGATTATGTGGGATTTTAAAATAGAAGTAGTGAATAATTTCAACCTATGTTGAAATTAAATGCCTGTTCAATCTAGGTTTGTGTTGGTAAATGCACTTGATAGATTAAATTCATTTAACCTTTTCCTTTACTAGCTACATGTTAGTTGGGCAATCGGTATTGAGATGTGAGGTCCAGGGATGGACGGGGAGGGTGCCAACATGTGATGGTCAGTGATCTTTGTGTTCACTCTTACTAGCTGAAATGCGCTCCAAATCTGATTAATATTATTTTGTTTTGTAGAGGTGAAATGTGTTACTCCAGCTGAAATTGTAAATGGGAGATTCAGTCCAAAGAAGGACTTTTATGGTTATAGAGAAGTTGTGCGGTACTCCTGCAACAAAGGCCTTGAACTTCGTGGATCCAGGGACTTATTTTGTTCTGAAGATGGGAAATTCTCCTCTGCTGCCCCAACCTGTGTCCGTAAGTGTTTTTTTTGGGGGGTTTTTTTCAATTCCCTCAACTTCAAAAGTATAACTAAAAGTTTAATTAATGTGATTCTAATTGTAATAAAAAATACTCTTTTTCACTTTCAGGAGTTGAATGTAAAGACCCTGTGATTATAAATGGATTTTGGGAATCTGGCTCTCGACCACCGCACAAATATAAGGCTACAGTGACATTTAAATGTAAACCTGAATACACAATGATTGGAAAACCTACAGTGACTTGTAACATAGATAGCAAGTGGTCACCTGGTCTTCCAAAATGCACCAGTAAGTCATCAATTAAAATAATCAACTGTAATTCGATGTTCACTGTCTTGCTATAAGTGACGTGTACTCTGAAGTCGGCACAGTTTGGCAGTTATAAGCCACATTTATGCAGATTTTTATTACTTACCATAATTTGTCATGAAACAAATACATCTAACAGGAAATCAGAAAAATCTGTGGAACACATCACATTTTCCTGCTTTACATATCTAGGTATGTAGTGTAGAAATACTGAGTTACATGGAAAGATGCTAATCCTCAATGTCTATTTCTCACATTGTATCAAATTAGCTTCTGGTAAGAAATGTTCTTCGCTAATTTTTGCTGTATTTTGTTTTTCTCTTTTCATTCTCATCAGTTTGCTTTGTTTTTCCTTTCAGGGAACGGGAATGCTCTTGTGGGAAACGGGAATGCTCTTGTGGGAGGACTTACTGGTGCACTAGGTGAGTTTCAATTTCTGATTGGCGTGCAGATAATCTTTCTGTTCCCTACCCACAAAAATATGGCCTCAGAAGAACAGCATGGATAAAATACCAGCACTTAATTAATAATAATAAAAAAGGATTATCTCTCTTTGGTCTGCTGCCAGTTGACATTTCACCAGATAGTTTAGTGATATGGCCACAAAGTTAATCCACGGTTCTTTCACTGGTCAACCAGAGTGTTCTGTGAAAACATCACAAGCTATATTCCATCCAGTTGTCATGCAAATGTATTCATTACTAAGCTATCTCTAAGAAAACAGTGAAACATCTAAATAGCACTACATGTTTTTCAGTAAAAATAGTGTGAGGGTTTTCATCAGCATCTAGAAAAATCAAGTAAAACATTTTTTTCATTCACCTATGAGGACTCCATGTTTGTTGTCTGGATAGGGATTTTTTATTTTTAAAATTTCTGTGAAACACTCTTCTGAAGGCTTTGTGTATAGGATTTTTTTATCTAACCATTTTATCAAATTATTTCTATCAAAGCCTGAGCTTTGTCATATTGATTTAAGTAAGAACTCTCCTATGAGAACTTGTTGGTTTCTCTGAGTTGATCAAATTTGTCTAAGCTGAAGACGCTCGACAGTATTTAAGTCATACAACAAAAATCTGCTAAGAATCTGTTATTGTGTTCTCCAAGTCTTTTTAAAATGTATACACTGTAATCGTTATTTTGCGGTGACTTCCTTATATTTCTTGTTTTCTGAAATTTCCCATATATGACAGTTAGATGGCTAAAAGGTGTGTGTTTGTGTAACATTAGCCTGGTTACCCCAAATACAAACTGTTGTATCCTAAAAAGGGAAATTGACTTTGCACAAAGTTTTGTAAGACAAGTCTGTGTCAACCTTTGATAAACGATGTCAGCTGTAGTGTTTAGAGCCACAACGGTCATTTGAGTGCGACACGGATCTGGTAGGACAGGGCAGTCGGACTCTTCTGTAATCGTGATGCAAGTTGCTCCAAGTTACTAGAAAGATAATGAAGAATGAGTGTTCTGTTTCATGAAAGCATTCCAACAGCAAACCTCACTTTTGAAGGGAGGAAGTTGAGGCTTGTGGCGTGGCTCGGGCTGCAGGAAGTCACAAACTGACTAACTGGTTGTACTGAACAGTTTCTTCTAAATGTTGCACTTCATTTGTGGTGTCACATAATTAGTAATAAATGAAGCTGAAATGTGTCCACTCTGTAACTCAGCTTCAGAAAGGATTGTTTCTGGTCTCCCAAGAAGTTGAATCTGTGTGGATGCTCAGCACAAGAAGCAAACTTCTACAGATGCACCTACAATCGTTTCCAATTGGATGTGGAGTGGAAAACAGCCTGGGAGAAGCAGCTGTAGCTTCTACCAGGAGTTGAGATATGTGTGCAGAGCACTGACCCTCTCAGACTCTTGACCAAAATACTTCTATACTTTCCTTCTTTATAGAAAGGCTGAAACTGGTGGTGCAGGTGCAAAAGCCTTTCCTATTTTTATAGATATTTCCCCAAATGATAAATAAAGACCATCATGTGGGCATAATTTGACATGAACAGCTGTAACAACTTGATTTCTTTAAGTTATTCTTGTTGGTGGTTTTAATTTTGGGTCAGCTTAGTAGATTTTTATTCTTTTTCTTTCTTACCCACATTACTCTGCCCCCTAACTCGCCTGAAACTACTCTATTTATAGGTTTTAAAAAGTGTAAAACACATTTGTTTTTCACATTACAAGTTGTTTAATTATTTTTATTTGTTCTCTTTTTTTCAATAGTAACCATCCCAATCCTGTTGGTTCAAAACTACTGGATGTAAAAATGTCGCCCTAAAAAGAACAACGTGACGTCTGAGGGAATCTGCCTTTCATTTGCTGGAATTCAGTGGAAGTTTACCACTACAACATGAGCGCTTCAACCTCAATCTCTCTTTTATGATTCAAGTAACTTTCATGATTTTTAGAGTTAAAAATATCCTGTAACAATATGCTGTAAAGACATTCATTATTACTCCCATCATTGTTTCTATATGTTAGCACTACAGTAGAGTCTTGGTTGTTTTAAGTGAAATTTAACTGTTTAAAATCTTTTTTTAATGTGTTATTTATTATAGTTTATCAAGCTGTTTGTGTTTAAGGTTCGCACTGAAGAAAACTTTAGGCTCTGTTAAAACACTCATAAGTGCCTTTGCTGTGGCCATCTTTCATATACCTGAAGGGAAAAAGCCATGTGTTGTAAATTATTGTTTGTGTTAGTTTTCAAATGAAATGCCTTTTTTTTTTTACCACTTGTTGAATGTTTGCATTAAGAATGTACATATTATTTAATTGAATCAACCAAGTTATAGACAGAATCAAAGGAAATCAGTTTACCAAAAACCTTTTAGTTGTTTATGTCAGTAATTGTATCTACTTACTGTTTTAGAGTATTTGAACACTGGTATTGACTGTCATCTCAAAGTAATTTTGTGAATGTATTCTCAAAAAATGTTTGCACTTTTTCCACTCTTTGGCAAATTTTATATGAGGACATATTAGTTGATATAATTTTGATCAAACCGAACTTGAAGTTCTTCAATAAAATAAGAAACCTAAGTGTTGTTTTTTTATTTATTTTTTTTAAACTTGTACAACTCCTCAAAACCCTTTTACTCTTGTCACATTTACCCAACTCGAACTGCACATTTTCACATATTACACCAGTATGTAGTGTCAGGAAACCTGAGGTTGTGTGTCTTTGACATAAATAGAACCTGAATTCAAACTGAAAACCTTCTGATTACAAGGCAATTACTTCCAACTGAATCATAGCCCCACCAGTAAGTCAACAGTCACCTTTTGATATAGTATTTGTTTGTTGGTGTTGCAGGAACCTCTATGGCCATTACACTCCATGATTCGATAGGGCGCTGTAATAAGAATGTGGACTTAAAGGCTGTACCTTAAAACCACAGTCCATCGTCAGTTATACTACATACATTAAGGAAGGGTCTCTCCATCTCACATAGTTCTCTGAGTTTAGGGGATAAATTAACAAATTGCTTTGAATTGATTTCTCTGTCTAATAAATGAAATAACAGTTTCTTTTCACAGGATTCATTAAAAATGATGGAAATCATGATGCTGGAAGAAGCAGAGGAGAAGAAACAGTAATTTCACATCTTAGATTTTGATATACAAGGTAAAATATTGCATCATTATTTATCACACCAAAACATGACGGATAAAATGCAGCGTGGATACATTTAAATTGTTATGCATATTATGTTACATAAAATATTAGTTTGACAAATATTAAATTAAAGCTGAATCTTACTGATTTCTTACAAGGAAATGACTTGCACTATTGCATTTGTTTTAACCTTTAAAGCAAATGCAAAAGACTGTGGTAGACGTTTTGTGAAATTGAATGTAGATATATATATTTTTTCTTTTTCTACAGCTCATTTTTTAATGAGCCATAAAAGTCTCAGACGCATCCTGTCTTACAGAGTCTTCTCCGGTAGGTGGCGATATGCACACAAAGCTAGCTGGTAATGCAATCTCCACACAAACGAAAAGAAGACGCTGAGAAAACAAGTGAAGAAAGCTAAGGTACCGTTTACTCATCTAACAGAACCTTTTTCGTTATTTGTTGAACTAAACTTGTTGAAAATATAAACGCTGTTGATGTAGCTGGTTATAGTGAGGGTTACGCCTTGTGGATCGGGAAAGGAAGAAATAATCGTGGTGGAAAAAGTGACCGTCCTGTTTGTTTCTGAATTTTAATGATTAAATACTGTCACCGAATGATGAACTGCTGTGTATGGAGCCTGATGGAGATGAAATTTAAAGAAGAGCTACTGACATTTCTGACAACAAAAGTATATATAAAAGTAAAAGTATAGATAAAGCTATAGATGTATATCTATATATTAATAGTTGCAGTTGTTTTTTAGGTGTTGACCGAAAGAGCAAAGAGAACTAAAGACTGCATTCCTTTTGAGTTAATATTTTGTAGAGACAAACCTTTTCCTGATGATTCATTCTGTCTCACCGTCAAAGTTAACGATTAATTTACCTTCTATATTTGCATTCTTCTTTTCCAGAAAGGTTTCTTTGTCATTGGATTACTGAGGAACCTGATCATGAGTGTTTCTGCACTCTTCCTACTCAGCAGCCTTTGCCTTGTCATCACTGCTCAGGGTGTGTTCTCATTCACATTGAGGGTAGGAAGCCTTGTTCCTCTACATAGGTTTTAATCATCCATTGTTTTATTTATTTTATTATAGGGCAGCAGTGCTCCAAACCAGTTGGACGGCAGAACATGCAGCTGAAGGACGAGTACATCAATAAAAAGACATTTGAGGATGGGTCCACGGTGGCCTTCGTCTGTGATGTTGGCTACACACCTGTACAAGATTCTGGAGTCATCACGTGTACTGCGGGGATTTGGAGTCCTCTTCAGCTGATTTGCGAGAGTGAATATGCTTACTTAGCTACATCCTTAATATACTTTCAGTTGCGTTCTTTGCAATATGGCTCATTGCCCAGGGTGCTACTGTGTGAGGGAGCATCACAAGTACTCAAAATCTCCCCAGTGTAAGGACAGCAAGGGATTATGTGCATACACTCCTTGTTAGTGATGCTGAAATTGGTAATTTATTCAAAATGTTTGTTTTGGTGGTTAGTTAAAGGACTGTTTCATGTGTTTTTTTTTGTTTGTTTGTTTTGAAGAAGAACAAGATCATCTTTAATTCAGAATCTAATTAACCTAAAATTGTCAAGTTTACACAGGATTATTTTATAGTGAGTTCATCTGCATTCTTGAAAAGTATGAAGAAAAAGAAAATTGAGTGTAGAACAAATGTTTGATTTTCTAGACTGTTTTCCCCAATTTCCTTATATTCTTTAAGACAACAGTCTAGTACAGTCAGGTTTTACATTGATTGTTAATAAATCAACAGCTTTATATTTAATATTCCACATCACACTATCAATTTAAATTCTATATATATATTTTTTCATTTACAGACCAAATGTACATTTGTTGAAAGGGGCTATTTTATTTAATGTTTGGTCTCTAGACAATTTCTGGATGCATAACAGACGACAGACATATACTACAAAAGTGCAACATCTTTTAATAATCAGATAATTAATGACTATTTTAAGATATTCATATATTGTCTTGTAGTTTGTAAAAGACAAATGTAATGGTTGTGTCTTTCTATTCCAGGGTCGAACTGTGGATCTCTTGCTGAAGTGCCTAATGGACAAGTTTCCTACCCTCAAGGAACACAGTTTGGGGATAAAGCATTGATCACTTGTAACACAGGGTGAGTAGAAGAAAAATAGCTTGTGTTCAGAGTTGAATGAAATGTTCATCTTATTCTATTTTTTTTTTTTTTTTTTAGTTACAAATTAGTTGGTAAAAGTGAAATTACATGTGGAACCCAAGGATGGTTGGACAGGTTGCCTACATGTGAAGGTTGGTGACATTTGTTCTTATTGATCTTATTAGAAATGTAAGTTGTGTTTTTTTGTCTAATAGGAAATTTGTTTTCTAGTTGCTAAATGTCTTCAGCCAAGTGGTATTGCAAACGGTATGTTCAGTCCACGAAAGGAAGATTATACATACAGAGAAGTTGTCGAGTATTCCTGCAACAAAGATTACACGCTCAATGGATCAAAACAAATAACCTGTGAGGAAAATGATACGTTCAAACCTTCTCCTCCATCATGCATCTGTAAGTATTTTAATCTTGTCATCTAAACCTTCATCATGATTAAAAATTAGAGTTATGCACTTGAAATTCTGTACATGAAGACAAGTAAAAACAAAATTCTCACACTATATTAAATCTGACTGAAACAGTCCTGATTTAGGGGAGTTAGGATTACCAAATTATTTATTATTTACCATTATTTATTTTTGCTAAATATTAGAATTTTTTTTCTTTTTACTTTATTAAAACTCATATACATTTATGCTATATTTAGATTTTTGCTTTTAACTTTGGTGAAACATTTTGGGTATTTTTCTACAAGCTTCTCACAATAGTTTGCTTCAATTTGGGCCCATCTTTCCTGAAAAAATACTGGTTTAACCGGGTAAGGTTTGTAATCCATCTTGCTTTCATATTTTTTATGACCAATTTTCTGTTGGTCCACATTGTGATGGCTAAATGGTCCAAAATTTTGACAGTATTTTTCTCCTATTTCCTTAACTATTTTGGTTCACAAGGTGAAAAATTGGAAGACTCATTTGTGACCAAGATTTTACTTTTTGGCTGATGTCTTAAAAAGTGGCATCAATATTTCATGATGTGTTTTCTTCTGTGAAGTGCACCAGGCCCTCCTGCAACAAAACACACATAATACTGTCACCTCTATACTCCACAGTTGGGTTAGTGTTGTTAGAATTGAAAACTTCCTTTTTTACTTTTCAAATGTAACCATTGTCATCTTGGTCAAACACAGGGAATTTAATTTGGGAATTATCTCTCCCAAATTAAAGTGTTGTTCTCTGAGTGCAATTCTAAACTGGAATCTTGCTCTGTATGTTGCCTTTGGAGTTCTGGCCTCTTTCTCTCTGTAAGAGAAAGAGGCTATGTTCTTTAGCGCATGTTCATCTCAGGATCACAGAACCCATTTCCTTCCCTGATGGTATAATGGCCGGGCATTTCCCAAGTATTTTTGCTCCATTTAATTCTTTGAACCAATGGCGACTTCGGGCATCTGGAAGTTGGACCAAGTTAAGAGCCAGGTGTGTGGAGGGCTATGCTTCTTTGTATGCAATTTTGCATAATTTCTTTTTTATTTATCTCCAACGATGTCTCACCAGGAAGCAGTGTGTTTGAGGTGTTCCCTTAAAGGACATCCATTTAACTTAAACGTTGTCATTTAACCTGACTGATCTAGACCAAGGAAAGTTTAATTTAATGTGAGATAATAAAAGTTACATGTTTCTTAAAGCATATTCAGTTGTATCTCTCAGTACTGTACAAATGTTTTCTGGCAAATATGCAAAATTAACCGAAATAATTGATGCTTTCAAAAACCAAAGTGTTAAAATACAACGAACAAAAGAAAATTCTAAATAAAACTGACATTTGGTATGGCCACCCTTTGCTTTTAAAGGGACACTTAAGCACAGATTCGGAAAGAACTTGGTTAATATATTGTAAAAATCTTGTTGAGCCAACCCACAGATTCTGTGAACATAGTCCTCTTAAAATCATTAAATCATTAAATCATTTTCTCTCTTCATGTTATCCCAGACTGATTCAGTGATGTTGAAATCAAATGCCATACTGTTTTCTTTGACCTGAAGGTAGTCGTTAATGGCATTGGCAGTATGTTTGGACTTGTTGTCATGGAGCATTTCAGGGTGAAAAAAGTTAAATCAGAATATAATCTTAAAGAAAACAATAAATTTGTGACAGCTCTATACATGTAAAAATGGATAATCATTAGCACATGTTTGCTATAATTGGTGCATAAATGCACCTATACATTGATGCTGGTAGTAACACCATATACTGATTTGGATTTATTTTTAATTTTTTAGTATTTAGTAAAATCTTTAAAAATTAACAATTAAAGAATTCTTTGGGACATTTTTTTTCATTCCTGACAAAACTATTGCACAGTTGTGTATGTTAGTGTAACATTTAACATTTTTCATTTCAGGGGTTGAGTGTAAAGATCCTGTGATTCCAAATGCAGTATATATTGACGGTTCTCGGCCTCCACATAGGCACAAGGCTACTGTGATATACAACTGCAAACATGGGTACAAAATGAACGGACAAGGTACCCTGACCTGCGACATAAATAGCCAGTGGTATCCTAGAATTCCAGAATGCATCAGTAAGTCATCAATAACAATTATCTCCATTGATTAGGTAACTCTGAATAATCAGTGATCTCTTCATAACTTTAAGTAAAATGATTATGGAGTACATTACAACTTTAAGTCTCACTTTGTCCATAATTAACATCTATTTTTCCTATAATTGCACTTATCTGAAAACATAGAAACTATAGAATGGCCATCTTTCATATATATACAGACTTATAAGCAATACACTTTTACGGTTTTACAGTTTTTCTGTTTGTTTGGTGATCATGAGAGCTTTGAAAATCGCCTCCAAATAAAATGTATTATTGTTATTTTTATCACTATATATAGAAATCTTGTGTACACAATGTTGGAGCAGCATATTGACTTGTACATTTTTAGTTCTTGTTAAATATTGTATATATTTTTACACGTTTTCCTTTTTTCATAGCTCCTTGTAATGAGAGAACCACTTTGTGAAAATAATCCCATTATCCAATCCCATCATTTCAATTTTATTTATTTATAATATATGTCATTTTTTTACAGGCAATGGAAATGCTGTTGTAGGAGGATCACTTGGTGGACTTGGTGAGTGTCAATTTCATCTACGATGATTATTATTCATTTGCTTAGTAGATCCCTACATTTCTATTCTGTGTTCAAACTAATAATCTCTATCTACTTTTAATCAGCCTAGATGTAAAAACAACATTTTTTTTAATAAGACTGCAGAGCAGAAATTCTGAATTTTAAAACATATTTCATAATCAACCATTTCAGACAATTCAGTATTGTGATGAGAGAGACACGCCTCTGTTTAAGCTGCCGTAACCTTTCACAACTCTGCTTATCAGGTTTTCCGCTTTAAGAAAACCACAGCATATGCATGAGTGCAGTCAGGCTTTTTCCACAATAAGTTTGAATGTTTTAAGATGAGTTATAGACAACATTTCTATGTTTGTGTTTGGAGGAAGTCTTTTGTTTCCTGTTTGGTCAAAGATGTCAGATATTGATAACTAACTAGACTAACTGGCTGTGAAGAAGAGCTTCTTCTAAACTCTCCAACAATTTTTTAGTATCTAACGAATGAGAATGAAGCTGTGGCTTTAAATGCTTATGTTATGTGCTATAAAAAACATGTTCATTACATTTTTTTTTACACAGAATCATTCTCCTCCTCTGTTCTGCCTATCTACAGCTCCAGAGATAATGAGCTGCTTTAAGCATGTTGTCACTCTGAATACAAATAAGTTGCTTCCATCCATGTCCTCCCAACTCAATGTTTACACTCACACGTAAAAATGGCTGCAAACGGATGAGCAATTACACAGTAGTACTTTGAAAAGCAGAAGAAGAACCTCCTCCACTTGCTACATTCTTGCAACAAGAATGTAGCAAGTTGTTTCTGAGTGGCAAGTCAACAACAAAACACTTGTCCTTTCCAGCAGCCATTTTACAGCTCACCTAATGTGCTTGTGCGCCGCTTGGGTTGCTAGGTAACGGCCCGCTGCCCATCAATTGTGACTCAACAATCTGGAGGTTTTTGAAACGACTCATTTTTCCAGACACCAAAAATCATTAACTTTGTTCATTTTGGGTTTTTTGGGGAGCTGCTTTTAGAAACAGTTGGGACCCAAATGAAAGTATAAAATATACAAAATGTGAGTTTTGCAAAACAGATCCTCTTTAAAATGAATCTTAAAAATAAAAATAGATCTAGATGCATTTATAAAAGTTGTTGTTCATGCAGTGACTGCTTGATGTTTTTTTCCCCCTCTTTCTCATTATTCTTGTTGAAAATGGCTGTTTTGCAGGTTTAAACATTGCCCTACTAGTTGTTTAAACAGTCTTGTTTGTTTTTCTTTTTTCATAGTAAGCATCACAGTCATGTTGGTTCACAATTACTGGATATAAGCGCATCATCTCGAGTGGAGGTCTGTCCTCTGACTGTACCTCCCGTCCATGTGCTGTGCAAACTTTGTCATTTCTTGGGAACTTGCTTCAAAGCGGCATCCTGGGACAGAAGTAGATTCAGTTCTGTCTCTGTTTGATTCATTTATATATAATCAATGCAGCATCACCCTTGGCCTTTGTTTTCAGATTCACATGTTGTCCTAAGTATGTGCAATTAAGATGTTTGAAAATCTTTTTTTATATATATACAAGCTGCTATTCTAAGATTTGAGTTCATGTATTATTTTAGTCTGAAGCTTTTACAAAGTAAGATTGCTGCTCAGAAAGCTTCATTTGTTAAAGAAATATTCTCATTAATATGAAACGAATCATGTCATGAACGAGTTTTGTGTTTCTAATAGCTGATCACCAGTCAGTCCTAAAGATCCAGAATGAATTGCTGAACAATCCATAGTGCCTGAACAAATATCATACTTGATATACCTGAATGAAAAGATGTGAAGTATTGTTTTTTTGTAATCTATGTCCTTAAATGTCATTGATACCCATTTCTTAGCCAATCTTAGTGTTATACTACTGGATAAAACTACATATAGCATAGAATATCAGTTTCTATGTCAAATTAATTCAGCACTTTTATAATGGGAAAGTATTATTCAAAACGGACCTTTTTTAACTTAAAGTCATTCTATAATCTTATTCCCTCATCAAAAATGTACCTGGAGTGTTGCTTTTATTCTTTCATGCATGTTTAAGACATTTGTTTATCTCTCGTGGCATTAAGCTGCAAAGTCAGATTTATTTTAAGTCATGTGACATCAATTTTTACAAGAACTGAAGGTAACATAAAATTTAAAAATACTTTATATCAAGGAGATACATAGTATTATTTCAAGTATTTAATCACTGGAATTAACCTGGATCAAACAGGGAAGTTTGAAAACCACTCTAAGTATTGCACTGGTTGTACCTTTTATTTATGAAATATATTTAAAACAAATTTTTTTTCTGTATTTTGAGCAGACCAGTAACACCGGTATTGCTAAATGTATTAAATAAAAAAGAAACCCAGTCGTATTTATTGCTTGGTATTGTGTATATTGACTGCAGCTTGCTCACACCTTACTTGTTCTGAATTTCTCTGTTTGGAAAGTAATCAAAGCAATAAATCGTTTACATGCTTCATTCACGAGTGCAGTTGTTACGTCTATTGTTACATTTATTGTGTATTTAATTCAAAGATGTTAGGAGAACCCTCATACAGTATGGGGAGAATGTAAAATTAAAACTCCTTCCTAAAGTAGATTAATTTAAAATTGTACTATTATAATCTAATTGGATATCAATGCAATTCTATGATAACGTAGTTTTATATTCGGTAGTCGTTGCTTTGTTTTAACATGGGAATGTTTATAGTGCTGTGACATTTTTTGTCCCTGAAAGATAGTTTTGATATGTTGGGATACATTTTTTTCAGTGTTTCAGATCATCCAAAAATATTTTGTCAAAGAACCCGGGTAAATACAGAAAACACCTTAGAAATTTTAGTTGTATTTAGAAAGGGGAAGAAGCAATTATATAAATATGGAATCAGACTACTGACACATGAGTGGGTTAGAAGTTACCTAAAGGACACAAAAGAGTTTGTAAAAGTTAAAATCTGCTTTATACAGTATAAGTTGTGGAGTACCTCAAGGTTCTTAGATCTATGCTTTTTCTTATGTATATTAGCGTTATCACCATGGTTTCTAAATGTCTTAAGCGCATCTTATTCACGGATTAGACATCTTTTTTCTTCACTAGAAAAAATATTTAAAAACTGCAATACGTAGTTGGAAATGAATCTACAAATATTTAGAAAATGGTTTGATAGAAACTTAAATACTTGTAAAACAAAATTTAGGACAGGTTGTATTGGTACAAAAAGTAGGGCTTACCTGTAAATGTCACAAAGGCTAGACTTTATGTTCCACCGAATTGTGGGGGTTATTGTTCAACAACTCCATTAAATCCTCTCTATATCTGAGTGTCACAGCTGATTAAATATTCTTGTGATTTACTATTTTCTTACTCATAAATGTATTGTTTTCATTTGGTTATCGTCTCAGATCCTTTCCTCTCAGCAGACTTAGACTTGCTTGGTCTGCTCAAGGAGAGCTGAAACTGGAACACGGAGGCTGTGGTACCTGGAAGTTCTTCCATTATTTTTTTTTAAAAACAGCAACTGTCCTAAACCTCAACATAGATGATGGCAACATAAGAGACTCACTTGAGAATGATGGAGGGTTTCATGTTTCAGTGATGTTGGTTACAAACCTTCAATTGGATCTAGAAGTCATGTTAGGCTTTTTTTTTTGCAAGAATAAAATAAACCACCAACGATTTTACATAGAGTACAAATTTATATTTTTGTCATGTTACAAAATTGTAAATTGCATGTGAGAGACAAACTAAAACACAAAAAATCTAGCTACATCTTTTACCATTTACAGCTAACATTAGGAAGCATTGTACAGTTCTTCTCAACTAATTTCTACTGCTGAAAGGAGTGTGGTTACATTGACCATTCATCTGTACAGTACAGTGTTCAAGAACAAGTAAACAAGCTTAGAACAAAGGTAGCTTTCCAAATATAAACAGAGCAATGTTGTGAGGCCTGCCTTCCTCTGTGAACTTTAACCTACTTTAGCTACTTTTGAAAATCATTTTAAACAGTGAGTGCCACAATCTTAAATATATATTATGCCTTTAGACTAGTAAACCTCCCAAGTCATAAATTTTCATTGCTGTTGTAGTTTGTATATAATTTCGTCTTTGGTAGTAAAAGTTGTTTGTTTCTTCGCTCAGGTACTTATTTGTGAATATATAAATATTTACCTACATTCTTAGCTGTTAATTGATTTTCTTAAAACATTTTATATGAGTAACCTGCATCAGCCTTAATGCTGAGTACAAATATGCATGCCCTGCTTAAAATATGTACTATCACCACTTTTTCAATAAGAATTTTACTAAATAAGCATTTATTTGGCAGTTAGTGAAATTCTGAAAATACCAGAGATTAAAACATGCCTTTCAAATGATACATTAAGGTACAACGCACCTTATCCAATCTATATCTATAGTTAGACTTGGTGTGGGGTTTGCTAAGCTTGATGGACATTCGATGCCCCAATATCATGCTGCCACCTTGTGGATAAAAAGAGGAATAGCTTCAAATATAAAGACAGGACAGTTTATTTCATACTTCTTAAAATCTAACATAACCCCTCTCCACATGCACATCAATGTAGCTTTTCTTAGTTTATAGCCTTATTGTCAAGTTTCACTCCACCCAATCCAAGAAAGGCCACAATGCAGCAGAGTTTCCTCCTCAAGGTATGACGAGATCTGTCCTTCATTGTAACCGATTTCAAATGGTGCTAGAAAGAGAAATGGACTCTGAACACCAAAAGAAATCGGTCAACCTTGGAGAGAGGACAAAGGGACTTGAAAAGTGAAAAGCATCTTGGTAGACATGATTTGCATCTCCGAGACTTGACGTTCTTTAAGGAGTGAGCCTCAGAGAGTTGTTTGCGTTTCTTTACACCGTCATATCTATGGTGACGGGCTTGTTGTTGCTTCTGGCTTCTGCCAGTGGAATGAAACACTTCCCACCCAAAGAACACTGATTTCAAATGGTGCTAGACAGATGACAATACTCTAAGCCACCATCTGAAACCAGCTTCCAAAGGGGGCACCTCTGGTAAAACCCATCATCAGAGTGGAATATTCAGTGGAATCTGAAAAAAATAATAATATAAAAAGTGTTAATTTAAACAGAAATTAAATTAAATAGAATTACATTCTTTATCAGACATGATTGGACAAATTGGAAAAATACCCATGCCATAAAATTGAGGCATGGTTTTGTATGCAGCCCATCTGATGCAATGATGGTAGAATCACCTTTTGCTGCAACTTTAGCTGCAAGTTTTATGTGGTATGTATGTAGATTTGTCTAGCAATTTTGCACATCTAAAGGCTAGACATTTTTGTCTATTCTTTCCAAAGTGTCTCAAGCTCAGTTAGACTGCTTGGAGATTTTCTTCAAATATCCACTTTCATGTGTTGCAACATATTTTCATCTGGATTTAGGTCCAGAATTTGGGTCACTCTAACAACGGCATATATTTTTGATCTACACTAGTCTATTGTCGACTCCCAGGCACAAGTGTCTCTAGCAAGTTTTCCTCCACAGTTCTGTATCAACTATGCACACCATATTTCTCAGTGATAGTTTTATAAGTTTAAAAGAAGTAAGAAAACAGCTTGTAGCTGTCATGTGAATGAACATGTTGAAGTTCAAGAATAATTTTCCAATAACTTGCTTCATCTACTTATACTTATTGTAACTACTACAACGTATCTAATAGATACAGTAAAAGTAGAGTTGGACAGGTAAAGGATTAATCCTGGAAGCAAATCCACATGTTTTCAAATCTGCAGTAAGTCAAGCTTGCTTCGTCATACATAATGTAATCTTGTTGAGGTGTAGGTGTTGTATACAAATGCATATTTTTGTGGATGAAAACTAAAAGTCATTTATTTCACTCTTTGTCTGCAGATGTGAATTATGCATAAACCAAACACCCACAATACTATGACTCAGAGATGCATGGCATTTACTCACAACAGAGTTATACACAGGTACTCTGTTTCAGCTGACATCAGTAATATTTATAACACTGCACCGTCGGGAGCATTAGAAGTAAGGTCAAAGTTAACAGCTGCTTCATTTGGAGACTTTAGCACCTAAAACAGGGCAGTTCAACACTTTTGTGTTTTACCAAATAAATTAAAGGCACATTAAACAACAAGATAAGGGTCCAAAGTTAGGCTTTCAGAGTCTGTCAGGGATCACCAGCAGTGATGATTCAGGTGTAATTTGTCAAGGGGGGCACTGCATTCCTCTGTTATAGTATCAACCTTAAAGGTTGGGTGACTGGTGAAGCTCATGATTTGGGTCAGCAGCTGTTTTTGATTTCAAAATGGCTCATTGCCCAGGGCATTATTGTGTCAGGGGGCAGTGCGGAAGCTTCAAAAGGAAAAGGTTTTCCGTCATGTGCCCCGCGGACATGCTTTCTGCTGTTTATTTGCATATCCAGCCAACATAGTTATGCAAATAAGACGTGGTCTAAACACTGTACAAGAAAATGGGAAAAACTTAGCCTTCTTTTATGGACTCTAAGATTCACATTCTTAAATTTAAAGGGCTATTTGACTGTTTTTATGTACTTTGGACAGCATTTGATCATCTAGTTGAAAAGCTAAGTAATGCAGATCAGTAAAACCTGAACTGGCTTTTTGTTTAAAACTGTTTGAAAGAGAAACCCCTTCATTCTATTTGTGAAAAATCTAAAATGAACATGTTTTTTTTAATCATATCATCATTCAGAAATACACCTTTAGCGTCAAGACAAGAACAAAAGCCACTGTTAATAATGTAATCAAAGATAGATGGTAGTTACCTTTTCGTTGATTACACGTTAATCAGCAAAACACAGATTCATTCAAGGGTTTGACCTTAGTATCAACCATGCAAGGACCTCCACTGACCGCCAGCATGAGCTCCGGGGTGGTTTAAGATTCAGGTTTATGGAGTCTGGTTCATAGTCTGCTAAAAAATATGAATTAAGGGAAACAGATGAAGTAGATAAAGACATCAAAACCAAATGATTAAGTGGAAAAACACTGTAAAAAAAGCACCCGTGCACTTCTCAGTCACTCTTTTCCCTCCAACACACCCACACAAGTCATCTGATATATAATCCAAGCTACATGGATGTGTGAAGGACCAAACAACAACAGCACATGCGCTCTAAATGCTTCCTCTGTGTTGTATACCTCTGGCTTACAGGCTCACCTGCAGACAAACGAGATTAATCCCGTTCTCTCTGTCGCTTTGGAAGAATAGAGGATAGTTTGTTCGTCTCCAGCTGCTACAAGAGGAAGGGAGAAGGGAAGTAGCAGTCAATTGCTGGTAATGAGAGCCATGACGCAGAAGCAAAGCTACAATGCACAGGGAGGGTGGGGCCAGGACAGGTAGTGGCCAGTTCACTGACTTGTTGCCAAGTACCTCAACTAAGTAGAAAACTAGCCAACCATCTCTAATTTCCTTGTTCTTTACCCCTGAAGTTTTCACTGTTAATATACAGGTGAACAAGCTATTGAGAAACCAACTGCTTTTACAAACAAATAAATCAAGCGAATCCTGTCGCAGCCGAGAAAATTCACAACAGCTCCTTTCCCACAGCATTTACGAGCCATTTATCAGGCTTCAGGTGGACAAGGCCGAGCCGTTTGTTTCCGTGAGGGAGTATTAAGATGTTATATTTGAGTCTGTTTGCGTGGTCGCCACAGTGACAGCTCTGATCAGAGGGCCTCCCCGGCCATAGGTGTCTGATTCCTTTGCCTGGCTCGCTCCACCTTGCCCTGTCAGTTTTCTTTTTCGGGTTGTTTGTTGCTTGTGTGCTACTCGACCTGTTGTGTAATGCTTATAAAAGATTTAAAGGGACAGGAGGCCTTGGGAGAGTGATAAACGACACATTCGCAATGAGACTGTAGAGCACACAAGGGAAATCAGTGGGGATAAATACAGGTACATATTTACGGAGAAACTTTAACAAAGCAGTCCATTTTTAAGTTTGCTCTTGGAGATTTACTGCTGTGTTAAAATTCACTGCACATAGATCAGCAATTAACTGATAAAACTTGTTTTGTCTAATATAAACTGATTGTGTACAATGGCACTTTACAGACCTTTAGTAATTCTGCATAGTTCTTTATACATCAATCAGGCATATCATTATAACCCCTGGCCTAACAGTGCACCGGGCCCATTTTTTGTAGCCAAAACAGGCCTGGACTTCAGAAAGTGTGATTCTTTCCTCAGCAAATGAGACTTACTGCTCCAGCCCGTCGTACAGATGCTCCATTGGATAGAGATCTGTGGCATCTGGAGACCAAACCAAGATCTTGTCTGGTACTAGTAGACCGTTCTCAGCCTGGTAGCAAAGAACTTTATCCTTCTGAAAGAATACACCAAAGAAAACTGTTTCCATGAAACCACACTCATCCTTAATATAAGATCCTAAAGCTGGTTAAAAATGCCAATCATATGATGATCCAGTTTTGTTTGAAAATCATAATATTTTTTGCAGTAATTGCTCTTTCATGGAGTGGTGAGCAGTAACTTTACTCCGGATATAAATAATTAATGACTTTTCACAGCAGGAAGGTCTATAAATGAAATGATTAAACAAGTGATTTTAAGCACATTCTTATATCTTCTTATATTAAAGAAGAACTGTACCAGTTTCTTCAAGAGAAATTGGAATCTGGAGTGACAAGTCAAAACTTTACAGAAAACGGTGATCAGAACTGAGTCATGAAATTCTGTTTGTCAGCTTAGAAATTTTGCTCAGCAATCTAAATATGGCATCCATTTAACATCAACAACCTCCAAGAGTTGCCACATAACGCATTGCAATAACTCTATAGGTATTTAGTCTCTGTCTTCACTGTAAAGCAGTTTCTCAGATACTGAAAGAGGATTTTTTTCTATGAAAATAAGCTCTTCCTTCTCTAACAGTCTTTTAGCGCTTGAGAAAATCTGGAAATGTCAGGTTATGTTTTTGCAGATAAAACTAAATCCTCGGGGCTTCACATTGTAAGCACCACAGTTAAGATTCATTCACTAAAAATTTAAACCAAAGGTGCGTAATGGTATAAAGTACGCTTTGCCATTAGCACAGGCAGCAACTGCAATGCAGAACATAAGCAGCAGATGCTCTTTGAACGTCTCAGAAACGCTGCATATTCTGCATACTGGGGATCAAGCCAGGAAAAACATAAAAAAAAAAAAAGCCCTCTCTCATCTTTGAGCTTTTTCTGAAATTTCTAGCATGAACAGGAAACGCTGTGCTATAACCAGCAGATTTCCTTTACTGACAGTCCAGTGAAGTCTGAATTCAACGGGCTCTTTAGTTTCCTAGAAAGGAACTCATACGTCACTGAGAATTCATGGGAAGGTTCCTGGAAGAGTGACTCACTTGATTCGAAATTGTGTTGTTATTCCTCCTCCTCTTACATATGGAAGGAAGAGCACCTTCACGTCTTGAATAATGTGATTTAAGTATATAGGACAAACTTTCATTGCATTTATCATTGACATTTCTTTAGTTTTCTGCATCCAATATCAATATATGTCAACAATGAACCACAGTGAAATAACCAAGTCATGTATTCACAGAAAAGTGTTCCAGTGAGTGCTTAACCTTACTGTGAGAAAACAATGCGTCCCAGCCAATCAGAGGTTGAATGTCATCTGCCTGTTGTTTTAAGCCAATGAAATGCTGCTGTGCTGCTTGTGAAGCCTGGGAAGCTCCTCCCATCCAATGAGATTGGAGCCTTGGCATGAAGGCTTGTGATGCAGCAGCTTTAGGAAGTCCAGTCCAGTGCATGTACACTGGAGAGAAGCCAAAGCTAAGTAACAAAAAAGAACAAGGTTTACAACTTTTCTCTGTTTTGGCCCATCTCAGCACCCCTCTGTGCTTCCTCTCCACCTATGTTTTTCTCTTTCCTTCCCTCCCTCGCTCTCTCTTCCTCTTCTCTATATGTTTCTGATCCAGAGCCATGACATTTAGACCTCCTTACCCCCTCCTTTCTCCAGGAGACGGATAGACAGACAGATAGGCACACAGATAAACATACTGAGAGGGGAAGGGAGAGGTACTAGCCGGTTGCAGCGAAGTCCAGCCCAGAAGCGACTGCGTCACCATCTCTGTCTCTCCTAACTACGCAGAAACAAATGTGTCTCGGGAAGGGTTTTGCCAGATCCCAATGGCTCTGGTGGGTGAAAACAACTCACATGTTGAAAGTAACACCAGATACAGAGTGGTATGTGACAGCAACATACAGCAGCCTCTGCTTCCAAGTCCGGATGCTGATTCTTTCCATCAACTTCAGCAGAGTTAACCAGAAGAGTCCAGCGCTGGTTCTATTTTAACACAGACGCACATGACGCGACATTAACAGCCGTATTTATTATGTAACTTCACTTGAATTGCTGTATGTGTTACCTGACTGCATAGTAGGAGGGTTAGACCGCACCGTCATTTATTATTTTAACCTATTTGCAAAAAAATAATCACCCATATTCCTCGAGGAGAGAGCGGGGGAAAACAGCGCTGTACCTCGATGAATTCTTTGAAAAACATCCCGGACTGAATATTCGTGCTGTTAACCTGTTTGTCGCAACCAGCGCCACCTAACCAACCAATCAAAACAAGCTCTAGTAAGTAACTGTGTCAAATCCTCAGCATCCATGTTGAAACTCAGGCACCAGCTCACAAAATCTACGCAACACACACACATACACGCGCACACACACTCTTAATGCAGAGCACATCAAAACTACCAAGGAAGAAGAAGAAGAGGGCAGAAGCTGAGGCTGTCCGAAAAGCAGAGTGCCTCCTCCGGGTGATGACTCTGGGCGTCTGTTATCTCAGCTTCTGTTTCTCTCGACATGAAAAAGTGACGTAGCAACTAATCCGAAATCACTCTCTTGCACTGACTCGGAGTTGCTCTCCCTCGCTCTCTGTATCTCCCCTTCGCTTCCTTTCTGCTCACCACTGAAAAGCACACACACTCCTTTTATTTCCATCTTGTTGCAACAGCAGAACTGCTATTAGATTGCTACGTCTAACTCACACACACACACACACACACACACACACACACACTCACGAGCACACACACATATACCCACTGCCAGACAAACACAACAGAGTCTACTCAAATGCGTACGTACGTGCGCGCTCACACAAACACACACGCAGCTGTGCACACACGCGCATGATCACACTATTTCTCTTCCTGAGTGTGACGCAGCACTTAATTCTCTGTGCTTCTTTTTTTTTTATGCCACTGTTGTGGCTTACACAAACGCAGCTTCTTGATCAAGCTGAGCCAGAAACACACTTGCTAGCTGTCACACAAGGCAAGTGGGCACGAGCAGACTGCAGTTAAAGGGACCCTACCACCACGAGTCTCTGGCCCCCCCACTCTGTGATGTGGCTGAGTCCTCATCTCCCCCCATGTCCCTTTCTAAACAGGTCTCTCCCTCTCGGCTCCTCTCCTCTCTGGCGCTCTGCTCCCGGCTACAGACGCACTCAGGCTCCTGTGTCTGAGCCGCCTTGATCACCTGACAACCCACTGGTTTTAAAGGCACACCATCACCAGCGTGTTTATCAGTTGCGTAAGCGCTCAGATATTGTTTTTAATACCGCCTGATGTGGATCCGACTCAATCTGTACCTGGCTTACATGTTACTGTCACAGGTACGTCGCTTTCAGCATTATGCTCAGACAAAGTCTTTGTTGATTTTACTTCTATAGGAAAATACATCACATGAGGCATGCATGTCTGACACTTCCATGATTCGACCTCTTCAGTGCAGCCGACCATAGATTATCCCTAGAGAAAACACAGCACAGTTTCATCCAGTACTGTAATAAAAAGAAAAAACTCAATTCCCCTTTAGTTTCAGCTAATTTCAGACAAAAAAAAAAAGTTAAACGTTTCTTACAATATTCCCAATATTCTGTGGTACTTTTGTGATAACGATAAAAGTGACGATATGAACTATTTATTACTTCTACTTTAGGTAACCGTATCGCTGACACAGCAATTGTAGCCCAACAAACTCAAATACTGCTTTTGAAAAACATACTAATTTATAATATGCTTCCTTAGGACATAAGTCATATACTTTTATCACCAATAATAAATTATTTAAATTTCATTGTTATGTATTGATACTCCCATTGAACAAACAGTGGATAAAATAGTCAAAATAACAACCTGGAGAGTTTTTGGAATTTTAAATACCATTAATTGGAATTTATCACGACAACAATAAATTAAAATTCTTATTATGATAAGACGTCTGTCTCGATAAATGATAAATGCTCACCTTTACTTTCTATCTAGTTGCTGAAAGATGAAGTCTTTTTCAGCCTCTATAGGCTTTATTTCAAAATTACCGCATATGTAAATCCATCCATCTTTTCATAAACTTTTCCATAAACCCACCTGAACTTTGGATTTCTGCCCATTTTCATACCGATGCTAAATTTCACATATTTACTAATTATGTAGCTTCTGAATTGGTTGTACTGGGTTTTATTTAATAGTATCAGAGTTAAGGGGATTGAATATAAATAATTATTCCAATGGACATATATGTACCACTTTGTGTTGGTTACATAAAATACCAATAAAATACCTCTTCTGGCTGTGATGTGACCAGTTATGAAAAGCTAAAGGGTAATATCTAGTTTTGCAAGGAACTGTGATGAATAGATAAAGGAAAAATTAACAGATTCATATGGAAAGTGGGAAGTTGTGTTGTCTTTAAACAGGATTGTGTTCCCATCTTATAAATAGTCTGTTTTGGCAGTGGTTATTTTAAGCATTCAAGCTGCGGCTGATGTGATTGCTGCCTTACCTTGATTGGACGATTTGCTTTTTTGCTCCCAACGTAAGTGGGTCAGGGGTGCTGTAGCAGTAGGGAAAAAAAGATACAAGTTAGACAGAGTTAAACTTAGACACAGGCAATAACTTTAGTATTAACATTTTTTTATGTTCACGGGGGAAAATGTTTTAACTACTTGTTTGCAATCAGCCTGGCATTTACATAGGAGCAACAAGCTTGATTCAGTCTCTTTTATGGACTTGTGTGCTCCCAGCAACAAAGCTGTGCCTTTTGGGTCTGTCAGCATAAAGTCCTCTTTATTTGGCAAGCTGAAACACAAGCTTTGTCCTAAAAAAAACAAACAAAAAAAAAACAATGGGTAAATAAACTCACTGTATCAGAATTATGCTAGTCATTAGTAAAAAATAAATAAAAATGGTTGATTTCCTAAACTACTGATTATGTTTTACCCTTAGTTTGGATCTGCTGGGAGACGAAGTGAAGACAACTCTGCTTTGGAACCATTTTTAACATAATAAAATGTCTTCTTGTTTTATCTCCTGACAGCCAGGTCCAGAAAGCAAAACAAAGAAAGGAGATCATCTTTAAAAGAATCACCTTTCACCTGGAGCTATAAATGAAACATAAATGGGTCTGAGTGATCAAAGCATGTTTGCCCTGTGTGGACTGAGAGTATTGATCTGTGGACGGAGGTTTACCGGCCCCTTCCAGGATAAAGATTTCAGCAGTCCAAAAGTGCAGTTCTACGCGAAACAACTAGAATGAAACAACTGAAACACCAACTGTAATTTGTTTTATTGAGCTCTAGTGAGATAGTCTGCATCAAAGTGGCACATAACTGAAGTGGATCCAAAAATATCCATGGTTTTCCCTTTTTTTTTTTTTTCTAGTAAGTTCTAAAAAGTGTGGCAGGCATTTGTAATTAACCCACCGAGTCAACATTTCTCCTGCAATTATCTTTTTAGTAATTTCTGAAGGTATTTGGTTGCACAGCCTTTTTATTTTTGGGCTAACAGAGTAAATGGGGCTGAATGCAAATACAGGCCTGATGTGTTTTTATGTGGAACGTTTCGGAGGAAATTCATATCATTTTATGTGGACTACTTTGTATCGGTCCATCAAATAAAATCTCGAAATTCACTGAAGTTTGAGGTTACAAAGTGGCAGAACATGTAAAAAGTTTGAAAGACTTTGATTGTACAAGTCCCTGAAAATTAGGTTTTATGTTAAAATATTTTCATTTCAGGAAAATTGGCTTTGTTGATTCGAACCAGGAATAAAAAAAAGTGCCTTTTGTTTACGCTGACACACACGGCAACAGACTTACTGATGCATCCACGTGTCGACTCTTCCTGTCTGCTATTTTTGCTTCTCATCCAGCGGACAGTGCGTTAATTTTAGCCATGTCATCTATCAGCTGTTCCTGTTCCACTTAATCCCTGCATTGGAAAGATGCCCAGTCAGCTCTATTGACATTGTATTTGACTATTAAAGGAACAATAAGCACAATTCCAGAAATAAACCATATGTATTTTTTAATGTTGTGGATAAAATGCAGTTACTATTTTAGTGTTATTAAAATAAAAAGTGTTTACATTGCTGAATTAAAATATTTATTATCGAAATAGAAAAACTAGCTTGTACATATAATTTTAAATGCCAAAAATTACTGCTGCACAGTCTTTTTTGCATTTCTAAATAGGTACGTTTAGAAATGCCGTAATCTTTAATAAATAGTAAAAAAAAAACATACTAACATATGGTAATTAAATATCCATAATAAACTTTTTATAAATTAATATCTAAATATAAATGAATACATTTATATATCGAAGTAGTTTTACAACTACTGTTGTTTATTTGTCCACGGCCACACCCTGCACATGAAAACTGAAACTCATTCAGCTTTGCTGCACTGCTGCTATTTCTCCAGTGTGTTCTCATCTTTCCTTCAATGTAGAAACTTTTTTTGTAGAGAGAAAAACAAAACGCAGTTGTTATTGCTTCTGAAGTCCCCCCTCCCCACCCCACCAAAAAAATAAATAAATAAAAAAATAATAAAATACAGGGTCATATTATTGTTTTACCTCAAAACAGAACAGATTGTTCTGACCTGAAATTAAGTTAAGACTAAAACATTCACTCACCCCCTTTTCCGGTGCTTGGTCTCGGTTTACTTTGTAGCACTGTATCCTCCCAGGATGAAAACTGACTCATTTCATTAAGTCAGTTTTTGTGTAACTTTCTCGCATCCTGTACAAACCTGCAGAAATACGCCATCCTGTGTTAAAGAACAGTATTACTGAGTGGTGGTTTGTTTACATCGGGAGGGAAAAAGAAGTGCGTATGAAACCTCTGGATGGAGGGAGCTGAGTCAAGGTGCTGGCGCAGCATCAAGATACACGAACAACTTTAAACTCTCAACTTCTTCTGTTTTACTCTTATAAGTAGAAGCGCATGAACTTTGTTATATATATATATATATATATATATATATATATATATATATATATATATATATATATATATATATATATATATCTTCCCCTCTCGATAATAACGAGAGGGGAAGAGGAGACATAATCGTGGAATCTTATAGAAAATGCTTACTGCTTTATTCCCTAAATAAGTAAACATCTGGGAAGTCCAGCATATTTATTTCTTCCTCGGTAACTTTTCAACTTGCCATTGTAGTTAAGCGCAGCTTCGCATTGAATTAAGGGTCAAATTCCGCAGGAGCAATAAATAAACCCAAATATTTTTGTTTGCAGAGATTACGCAGATCCACATGGATGCACCGTGCTCTCACTCTCGAGGTAAATTGAAGTGCGCAACATCCTCCCGCAGCAGGATGCATCCAGCGCACCTCTCCATCCCACCCAACTCCTCTGACTGCCTACAGGACGTAGGTCCGCAAGCAAATCTGATCTTTTCAGTTTTTACGTTTTAAGAAAGCGTACGACTGCAAATGCTGAAAAATGCTGAAAAAAAAAAAAAATTGAAACTGCGCACATGATTAGTCACGGTCATGCCTAATTTATTATAGGTTTCCACTGATAAATAAAGACGTTTGAAACAGTTTTGTGGAAAATGAAGGCGAGGATTGACGAGTATATTATATAAACATGCTGTGGAAAACAACAACAACAACAACAACAACAAAAAACAAAGTAGAGCACGTTACCAAACATCATTACAACAGCACCGCCCACCATAGACGCACTCTAACCTATATATCCATATAGATAGATGATTCAGTGGCACAGCAAGGCCAATAAACAGAAGGTGAAATGTGTTACTCACTGCGTTCTCGTCATCTTGCTGCTCTGTCACCGCTTGTGCTGTAACCCCACACCAACCTCTCGGCTTGTTATTCAGAACAGAGTGGTCCCCCACTGCCCTTACGAAAACCCCAGCCCATCGACATTTTCACAGCAACACCCGCAGGCCACGCCCTCGCGCACACACCCCCGTCCAACCATTGGATGACGCTGCAGAATGCGTCGACGCGATCACATGGTCGTGACGCATGTTTACAAACAGGCGCAGAGCGGAAGCGAGCCCGAGCCCATGCATCCAGAGGAATCACGTCTATTCTCGTCCAGGTGGTTGAAATCAACGCGCTTCATTTGGATTCCCTGCTCTTCTCCAGTGCGCGCTCCCGATGCTTGGGAAGGAAATTCTGTCCGGGATAACTTATTTGGCATGACACTTGTCAGTTAGGAAATTCGTTTTCTTTTCTTCTTTTTTCAGAGAAAGACTAAAGGCGTTAGGTTGTTAGCTCTGTCTGAGCTGATATGTTGATTAAAGAAAAAGCAATTGTAGTGACTAGTGTATACTTTTGGTTGTACAACTTATTAATCACAGTCACACATGATGAGGTTTGTCATTAGAAAATTAGCTGCTGGGGCACAAGCAAAAATAAATCTTAAAAATATTTCTTAAAGTTGTTTTGCAGGATGCCTGAAAGTGAATCAAAGCCAAAATCACAATCGAAGCATTTGTTAATTTATACTATTACATTTATCAGAGTTTATAGTAATTTCTAATTAGGAATCTGTTTGATTTCCCCGCTTAGACACAGGCATGTTTTCTCAGCTACTGGCTACTAATATTTATTTTGCCACCAAAACAATCTGAGGATCAAACATTAAGATCAGCTGCTCTGTAATAACTATTAAAAGCAATTTTATCATTGGGGTTCGCAAAACTTCACTGTGAATTTACCTGGACCCGTATAGATTGGTCAGAATTACCAGGTGGGTTTGGCATGGGAACTTTGGCATGGGAACTGATTTGAACAAACCATATCTACTTGGACAGAAGTGTCCAGAGTGTGATCTACTCTGGTCGTCCCTGGACTGAAGGAAACTAATTTGATCCATCAGCATATCGAGATTTTTTGTTTTAATTCAGGCAAAATTATTGCTGAAAAATCAAAAATACAATAGTAAATATTTGATACAAAGCAAAGTATTTATCTCTTAATAACCATGCTTTTTGCATTCTCTTTGATTTTATGATGGATAGAATCACATCTATCCAGTGACTTTTACTACAAAATATATTGTGATGCAGCCAAGTCCGTTTTTAATCAGTTTATTGAACTTGGCTAAATACAGAAAAGATCTTCAAAGAAAGATGGACCCAAATCCCATTGTTACTGTTGACAATAGACACAATCTTTTTGTCCTTTGATCTTTTTTAATGAGGGCAAACTGGATGTTTCTCCTTAATTAAAGTGAATGTACAAAGATAATTCTATATTTAAAAATCTACAATGATTTACAAATCACTCATCATCAAAATATTGGACTATTTGCACTAATAAACTAATTAATTTCTTGTTTATTGTTCCAAACATAAAACAATATCATATTTGTTTTTTCGGGAATTTAAGTTTTTAAATAAATTATTACAATAAATATCTTTTGACCCAACGGAAATTTTGACATTCACTGCTTCAGTTTTTACAGTGTAAATAATCAAACTCTTGATTTGTGAAGTTTCTTTATAAGAACTAACTTATTCAAGTTCCTTTAAAAGAAACCATCATGTACGACTGAATTACATTTGAAAGGTGTCATCTGTAAAGCCTATATGTCCAGATTCATCCTTCATTTTTTTGTTTCATGTTGCATCCTAAAATAATGTCTTAATCACCTACTGGCTTAATTCCACAGTGCGAAAAGTAATTTGAACAATTAATAAAATAATTACCAACAAATTTTGCTCAAAATAGGATATTAAAACTTTAATAAAATATTCCCATCCTAAGAAAATACACATTTTGGCCAAATGTTTCCATTTGTTGTTCTTTATTCCTAAATGTTGTGACAGGCAAATATATGAAAAATGTCATGACATTTAGCAAACATAAGCTCATTGCAAGGCAAATTAATTTTATTTATATACACATTTTGAACAACATGCCAATTCAAGGTGCGAAATGAATGCTAAATGTCCCCAAAGTAGAGCATTTGAGACGTTTGGCAAACTTAATTTCAACTTAGAGTAAGAAGTTTGCTCCTGTTAGCACAGCAGGGGGCATCCTAACCCAACAATTTCATGTTTCCACAACATTTATCCACTGCATGTTCTATTTCTTTTTAATCCTTAACCTTTTTCTGTGGTCTTATTTGAAACATAAAAAATAAATAAATAAAAATAGCCAAAATATAGTTTAATGTTTTTTTTTTTACACAGTCTTTAAGCTACATCTCTAATTCAAATGTGATGGCTGAAATACATCTGCAGCACTAATGTGATGTTTTGCAAGGTTTTCATTTTCTGACAGTTAATCCTAAAATCTTTTACCATAGCTTCCTGGAAGGTGTCATGCCATCTATTCTATCACTGGAAACACGAGACAAGTCTCTTTCCATTTCGTTTTCTGAAACAGATGTTGGTAACAGACAACAACAGAACAGAAACATGACCAAATATCAGTTCAGGATTTTATTGTATTTTGTTGTTGAGGTGTCTATGGAAACCAAATGTAAAATATGGGTTTTCTTAGGTTTAATCAGTCTTTCAAGTATATTTATTTGCTGCCCGTTAGTCCCTTGGAAAATTCCAGTAAAATGCTTCATTCCAGACAGATGATCCACAGAAACTGCAGTTTTACGTGATAATTTTACAAACATCTGATAAAAGCTGTTCAGCGAATGGAGGCACATATGGATGTCTGCTTGGAGAACAACATGTACATAATTTCCTCGCGTGAATCACCCTATTGGGCCCCATTTGTTTTACAGGGTAAATCTCCCTTGACTGGACCCCATCTTTAAAATTGTTTTAAGACTTTTAAAACTTGTTTCTTTCCAGTTGTCATGTGTTCCTGTATCTTGTTGCAGAAGTGCATTGGGGCCCCTTTCTCTGCTGTCTTGTTGAAATGTAGGTCATTCCTCCAAGTTCATGTGGAGAGTATTCCTGAAAATTTCATTTGGTTTGTCTTAGAAATATAGTTCCACTATCACAACTGACTACTGGGATTTGTTGAATAATGTCACTGAGTTGTGTTGGCTGACTTTGTGAGGGAAAAAAACATCTCCGTTTTGTATTTTATTTCCTCCACGTTTTAGGAAATACTTTCAAATATTACGATTTTTATGTCTAAGTGTCTCTGCTCCAAATTGTTGATTTAATTATTCACATGACATCCAGAAACTATGTTGCAGCTGCTGTCACACTGTTTACTTTCTTTCCATATTGACATATTTGGAAAAAAACAAAAAACAAAAACACAATATATGTTGATCTAAACTTGAGGCCTCGTGCCTTTTGTTTAACAATAAGTCCTGATAACCATTTTGTGTTATAAAGTGTAGTCTGTGCTCCCCCTCTGAACAGTGCATGTGTACTAAGATCAGTGGTATGGAATCAAATTGTTTTGCAGAACCATGAAATGTTATATTAATTTTCAAAGACATCTCTCTGATTTATTTATCTAATATTTTTAGATGATCACCTCAGTATCTGGAATGGAAATCTTGTTATCCCATGAGTAAGTGCAGAGATAATTATTAGAATTTTAATCAGATTGCAAGTGAAGACATAAGTTCACTTTCAGTTCAAGCATCTGGGATTTGGAGGTGAGTGAAGCCTTTATATAATATGTTCATATTTATACGCTGGACAGACTATTAATATTAATTGGCATAATAATAAAAAAAACAAACAGCGGGAATGTCAACTCTTAAAGAGTTTCAGTTTGTGGGAAGTAGTGTCGTTTATAAAGTCTAACATCTGCTGGGAGGGAGGATCTGTGATGATGCTTCTTTGCACACCAAGGATTCAGCCGTTTGTTACTGAAGGAGCTTCCAGTTCTGCAACATCATTTGATCTTTTTGCTTTTCAAATACTTTCTTTTAAGTTCCCATATGTTGTGGCATGGCAACATCTAACCCTAATGTTAATCATCTGGTAAACATTTGGTGCAAGTACATTAAAACTGCTTTAAAATGTGACACAAATAATTTCCCAGTGCCTTTTTCTAGCCTTATTATGTACGATAGTAACACAATTAAGTACATTGTTAAATAACTTTTACCTGATGGTACTGTTATAAGGAAATATCTTCAGAAAATATCATTTGGATTCTCTCTGTCAGTACAAAACAAACACACAGATTGCTCCTGCAGATGAAAGAAATTGCAGTCATTTGTTCCTTTGTGTGTTTCTCTCTAAGGACTAACATGTTAAAAATGTTTCAGCATTGTGATTCGATGCCATAAATTTGTTCTTATAAAAAAATAAAAGCCCTCATAAATTCTCTTGTCACATTTACCATTTAACCTTTCCATGAATGTGAACATTCACAGATCATAAACCTTAGGGTCTCATTAGGTCTCCTATTCTTTAACACCTGATCCATCCAGTTTAATGTTATCATTAATGAGTTAAGGAGGGGGATGGGTGGTGGGGTAGCAGAGAAGAAAGGGGTTTGGTGTAAAGAGGTAAAATATGACATATTTGGCAGCTGTGACTACGATGAGGATGGAGCCACTGCATAATCAAAACAACCAGCTGGGTTTTGTACATAATCCCAGATTCCACTTCACTCACATTACTCTTGGCAAGATGGAGGAATAAGAAGGGTGGGGAAACTGAGGCCTGGATGGGATAAAGCATGGGAGGAGAGCGGGTCGAGCCTTGGAGAAACAGAAAAAAAAGACGTAGAAGGTGAAGTTTACGGGTGTTTAGAGCATGGTTGTTTGATCAACATTAGTTGTTTCTGTGAGAAATACTTCCAACAAGGGCTTTGACTTTGCAAAAGATCTTGAAACATTGCTTAGCACTCTTACTTTTTCTTCTCTGCTGCATGAACAGCAAATTGAACAGCACAGATTTGACTAAAATAAAAAAGAGAGATAATTTGTGAAAGACTATTTTGTAGGTGTTTATGAGTGAATATTTTATTGGCAATACATTTTATATATTTGAAAAGTCTGTTTATCTCTTTTTAATAGTGCCACCTTTATAAGGATATTGCATGTATCTGTTGAGTTGTTCAGTTGTCTCCTCAAAACACGTTATGTTTAGCTGATCTGGGACATGTGCTTTAGGAAAACTTCCAGCTGATGTTCTGCAAAACATCTGCAGCATTATTTGAAGTCATAGACAAAGTTGGCTTCCAAAGCAAAGGACACCACAAGAGCACCCTGTCACCACTTATCAAACATAAGGAGTCCTTTACAGATTTGCAGTCAACTTTTGCACAATTTGACCTTTACTGCTGTGCAAACTGGTCCTAAGGAAATATTTTACTGATGTATCTTTGAAAGGGGCATTTCAGGGTGGAAATGAATGAGATGAGATTAAATTTCTAAATAAAACCATTCAAAAATAAGCATGTTATTCTCTCTTAAAGGAAAATAAACAACACTTTGTATATTTTAAATATGTGGAAATGATACTGTGGAAGGCTCATGATCACATTTGAGGGGGAAATGTTTTTGCCGCCACACCCAGGCGGGTCAAGACAAAACAGTGTGAAGTGATGTCATAACTGCTGCTTATGTAAACCAGCTGTCCAACCTTATGGGCTGAGTGGGATTTAAATTCCCTTGCATCATGGAGCAGATGTATGTAGGCGCAAGTATGTGTGGCAGTATGTGCACACATGTATCTGTGAGATATTCAGTTTATTCCATAATTCAAAAATAAAAGAACAAGTCTTACTATGTATTTGCAATTAAAAAAATACATACAAAGTATATTTGACAAATTATTAATTTTATCAAGAGTTTATTTTACTTTCTTTTAATGTTAATGTGTTTTTGGCACCTTATGTTACATGAAGGAGTCTTCATGTTTTCATGTACTTTAAAATAAATTTTGAGGTGGCAACATATCCAAAATGTAGCATCAATACAACAAAAGTGCATATATTTCAAATGCTGACCTGTTGTTGACTTATGGAGAAAATGTTAATGCTTTGAACACATATTAATTTTTAAGGCTTCCTATGTTCCATTTATCTCCAACTGGAATTATTTGCCCTGTTTACACTTAGTGGTAAGGCTAATAGCACACTTAATTAGCATCTGGTTCTGTATGCTATTTCATGGTCTGGTGTAACAGGAGAGCATTTCCACTGCCAGTTAAACTCATATTGTGTCATACTACTGTGGCGACATAAGTGATGCATTAATGTGTCTCATGCAGTGAAGCAGTGATGTTTTTCTGTTCCTCAATCAATGGACTTTTTTGTGTGCTGCTAGCTCTGCCCTATTCCAGTGGACCTACAACTGAAGGGGGTCCAGGAATGGTGCAGGACTGCTTGGTTTTACAATGAAAACACACAAAGTAGAGTATTGAACCACACGGACTCATGCCGTACAGTTCAATGAAAAGCAGCACTTTGGCTGAAAAGGGAAATGTTTCCAGACAGATACTTTTGTTTTGCTCATAAATCATGAACTCTTAAGATTCTGTTCTAGAAGTCGGATTAAAGGCGGTGTACTGTGTTTTCTGACACACAGTGTCACTGTAAAGTGCAATCAACTAACTATGTTACCTTCAGTTGTCATGAAAATGCTGTATATATAAAAACAAATTACAAGAAATTTTGGATCACAACTGTATATGACACCCTGAAATTGGCCTCTGTCTCTTTAAGAGGCGTATATCCTTTCTGACACGCCCCAGAACATCATAACAACAATGCTCCTCCATGGTGCCTTTAATGATGTTTCTGTATGCTATTTCATGGTCTGGTGTGACAGGAGTGCACACCAGACCACACCAGGTGTTCCACCAGGTGTTTGCTTACTGCTGCTGCCGCTAGAGATGGAGCTTTGGGTAAAGTAGTATTGTAGCATTTAGACATCCCTGAATGGTTGCCATGGGAGATTCCAGAATTTCTCAAACATGTCTGGGTATATTTCTGAAGAATGAATGACATTAAAATATAATATACAGTTCTGAAAAGGCTTTAGTCAAATACAAAAAATATTTTATTTAATATTTTTTGATTGTTTATGTATGTCAGTCAGAAACTCAAAAACTAAAACGATGAATGAGTTGGATTACAGCTGAGATGGTAAATCAAAGGTTACAAACATATGAATAAATACTTAGATTTTCTTTTTCTTGGACCTAGAAAATGATCAAATCTAATTTTCTATTTCTGCTTTACATTGTAAGATCGTAGAAACTCCATTCAAGGAAAGATTTGGCACAAAGTAAAGCAAAAGGAGGAGAAATTGTGATTATTTATTTTTACAAAATTCAAGCATTTGTGAATTTGCTTTTTCAATGTTTACATTACAAAATTTGAAGTGTATTTAAAAAAAATGTTACAAAACGTTTCCAAAGAAGAAAACTGGAAAAAAAGAAACCCATAGAAATATTAATAACAATAATAAAAAAAACAACAGTCACAACCTTGAGTATCATGAAGATCAAGCATTATTTAGTTGAAACAAGTCTAGTTTTAAGAACATGGGTTATGAACTGACATATGAGGCATAAATTCTCCTATGCCAAGTAGATAAGCAACACAGTTATATACTAAAATGAGAATAACACTGAGAAACATGACAAAAAGCTGAGAGTGATCATCATTTGATCTTTTCTCCTTTTGGCTGATCACTTGATTTGACGGTTTCCCCTTGGTTCAACCTCTTCGAGAGAAAAGGAAGAAAAGAAACTTTGATTCTTCTTCAACTGAAGCTCATTCAAACGACAACTAATTTCATAAAACTGTACAGGTTTTAATGGCTAACATTCATGTTCACACTCAAAAACGTTTACACTTTTATCAAGTCATCAAAATACAAAATGAAAAATGAAAGCCTAGATGCATGTACTGATATATACAGCCTATGTACGATGGAGATCCTAGTAAATGTTAACACTCACATGCAGCAAACATTTGAACATGTACAGTGGGTTTATTTTGTCAGACAAGTTTGTAAATTTACCATGCTTTGCTCTTTTTTGTCTTTTCTGGCTTAAAAAATTGTAAATTTTTAAAGACATTTTTATCCATGTGCTTATGCTGTGTTGCAGGAATTGTAGTGAGTTTAAGCCAGATGACAGGTGTTAGGCTGCTGGATGCAGCAGCATGTCACTGGCTGCAGTCTTCATAAGAGTTTGTGATGACTAATTTAAAAAGAAGAGCTGCCAACCTCCTCTTGTTGGTCTCAGTCTGGCTGCCGTCAAAAACCCAGGGACTATCTTCGTCATTATCAGCACTATTTTTATCTGCCAATATTTTTATAATCAGACTAGTTTTCCTAATGTTTGTTGAGGCAAACAGCCAATGAGGAAGAGAACCACAGCAGAGCTGTGTAGCTCTTAGAGAGGTTATTATAATCCCTGCTGTTTCCTTTGCTGTGGCCTCTCTGGCTCAACAGGATGAGATACCAAATTTCTTTGTATGGGCATGTATGCATCTGTGTGGATAAATGTATTAGCGGGAGGAAGTTCCTGGACTGCAGCAGTTGTGGGGCAATCTCACAGCTCGGTGTCTGCCGTCTTTGCAGTGGAGTGGCCGTTGGTGGGAGGAGAAGTCTCGGTCTTAACTGCCTCCAGGGACTCTCCGTTAACGCTGGGTTTCTCCTGAGTTTCTGGAGGGGGGATCAGAGGGGCCTCAGACGCAAGGGTGTTCCCCTGATTCTCTTGATCCACTGGGAAGGCTTTCTCTGCCTGCAGCAACAGTACAATTTAACATTTTAAAAGATTAAAATATTGCCTTTTTTATCTCAAGTCCTCTTTTCTATTGCAATTACTGATTTTATATTTTTATCTTTAATCTCAAATGTACACAATGCACTGCCCCATTGTACATTTATCAACAAAAGGCAAATAATGTGTAAAAGCAACACGTTTGCCTTGTAAAGCATTTAGATAATTAAGTAGTAACTAATTAAGCTTTTTTAATTAATCAGTCCACTATTAAACCATAAACTATTTATGTGTGTATCAACAAATCAAGAAAGAATGACATGAGCAATGACTTTTGAAAAACAATTTAAAAAAGCTTAAAATGACATTTCTAGCCACTTGAACACAAGCATTTGAAAGTGACAAACGCTATGCCTGAGTGAAAAGCACTCAAGCACTTTTTTGTAGGAGCTGATGTGTCATTAAGTTCAAAATCAGAATTTATTTATAATAAGAAACTCCAATACGTGACAGTTTAATCCTCAAAAATATATTTAAAAAATAGTCAAAAGCCTGACTCCTTTGAAACATGCAGTTGTGTTAGAAAGGGATAAACACACCATCAAATATTCTGATCTTTATTAAGAAATGTTCACATGTGGAAGTCTCATCTACATTTTTCAATTCATAATTGAAAAAAAAAAACATTTAATTGCACTTACTGAACAGAAAATAATCTTGTTGTATTTGTTAAACAACAAATAAGCAAAAACATGGTGGCTAACTGAAGAAATTAGGATATTCATAATAGCTGCTGTTGCCCTTTTTGACTGAATTACCTTCAGTGAAACATTTTCTGTAACCATATTCCCACTAACAGACCCACTGACTCTAGACCAAAATGATCCAAAGCAATAGTAGAAAAATGAGGGTGAAAATTTGTCTGCATAAAATTACTTTCTTATGAAAGTCAATATTTTTGCCTGTGCACTATGATAGTTTGGTACGTGAGCTTAAATGTTTAACGAAAACATATTTTTTCATCATATTCAACAGATCAAACAACAAATGCATCAAATATGAAGCAGTTTTCATGTTCCGATTAGACACTAAGACAGATGAACCCAATAATCCAGAATGTTTCCAGCACTACCCATAAACACACAAACAAAATATAGCCTCTTGAACGATCTCTGTCATGTTATGTGAGAGTTGCAGGGAAACAGCTGGGTAGATCATTGCAAAAGCACAAGGCTGTGGAGAACAGGGTGTGGGGCTCTGGATGAAGACCACCGTCTTTCTCTGCAGCTCGTCTGATGGTTGGCCAGCAGTTGGCCAAACAGTTTCTCTGTCCAGGTACATTTACCAGGTTCTGTTATCAGCAGTTGTTTCACAGGGAAAATAATTTGCACATCACATCACATCCTAATTTCCAGTTTGGTGATGACAGTAGGATGATTCCTAAAACAGTTTTCTCCCAGTAAGAACCGCATTAATATTTCTGAAGCTGGAACTTTTTCAAGACAGAAATCTTCATTGTTTTGGTGCCACTTGCATTAACTAATATCTTTAGCTGTTGGCTAAAGAATGATCTGCATTTACCCAAATGGAGGATACTAAGAGTAAACATTACAAAAGTAAACTTCATCCAAAAAGTGTGGACTAACCAGAATAAAGCATTTTATGCATTTTTACCAGGGGCACAAATAAGTGAGGAGGGTACTGTGACAAACTTGAAACAGAATAAATAAAAAACATTCTTACCAGTTTTTCTCCCTTAGTGTCAGGCTTCCGTTGACACTTGAAGTATCCCACAATCATGCCGAGGGCAGCAAGAAGACCAGTGACCAGTACTCCAACAAATACAGACGTGTTTGATGATTTTGGGACGTCAACATTTTTCAAATTTAACTACAAGAAAGTTTTATTTAAAAATATTGGAGAGAAAAAAGAGAAGTAAAATGTGGTCAGTAGAAGTAAAACAGATTTAGTTCTCAATTGGTATCCTAGAGCTTTGAAGTAAAATTTAATTTGCTGTTGGCATTATAGAGTCAACTAATAAATCACTGATTAAGATAATAAAACAGGAAAGCATTTTGAGAATGATTAAGCTATAATAAAATTGCATAGGGTTTTAAATTTTAAATCAGCTTAATGATGCTGTCATCACATTCCATGCTCTCCCTCACCTTGTTTTTCAGAGCTTCAGTTTTGAGTGCTTCAACCAAAGAAGACAGTTTAGCTGCAGATCAAGAAAAGTTCAGATATGCATCCATAGTTAGTTGGTGTTGGGGCAAAATAAATAATAAAAACTTCAAATTGTTTTATCATATGTTATCATTAGTTACCATCACTGCTGGTCATCAATAAATTGCTTTTCTCTTGGAAGATTTTCAGATTACATTTGTCAGAGCTGCACCACGGTGCTGGGGTATCCTCAATGATGCCCTTTGTTTCGTTCTGTAAGGAAAAAGAAACATAACTGCTTCTTTAGTTTCTATTTTATTAACCACAGTTTCAAAGTAATAAAAGACCACTAAGACATTAAATAAAAATGAAGCTTAATTGAACACATACTTAAGAAAGTGGTCTCACAAATAACTCTCTTTCAAGCTAGAAGACAAATTCCTATTCAAAATCTTTCTAACCACCCCTTGTTTTACCCAGTCGTATCCCAGATATATGATATCACCTCCTTGCGCAACTCTTAGTTCATTCTTCTACTGTGATAGGAGCCAGACAGCGCTCAATGACCCCAAAAGAGCCCTATGAACAAACCCCAAATCCCCACTTAGGTGGGAGTGGGCCCACAGCTGGACTCTGTGGAAATTCTTGGCTGTTTAAGGATAGAAACAAACATGTGAGAAGTAAATAAAACCAGTCGGATATCTCCTGTGGTACAATATCATTTACATATTTTTAGGTATAACAGATTCCATTCACAAATATATTTATTTTTGTGGCACTAATTTGCGTTGCAATTATAAAACTGAACAATGAACATGGCTTAAAAGAGTTAATTTACCTCTCACTGAGCAGGTCTTGTTAGAATGTAATTTAAACCACCTGGCATTTTGGGCTTTTAGTTTCCTTAAGTTGCCTTCATGTTTGATGGTTTGTGTCTGATGCGGTTTCTACATTAGATTGACTTTTGTAGATAGTTGTCATAGCAACAAACCTAGTCAGTTGAGCATAGTGCTCAGACGTGACCTTGCTGTGTCGTAGCTGCGAGCAAACAAACACTTTTTGTGTCTTGAGAAATCCACAGCTCTGAAAATAAAAATTCATTGTGCTTATTGGTTAGGTTTTTGTTATGCTGTTTAATATTTAGCCATGTATGTTTGTATATCTGAAAACCTGTTTGACGTTGGCTTAAACATGAAGAAATTAGGCTTAATTTTATAAAACGTCCAGATATGTCATAAATTTCAAATATGGATTTACCCATATTTTGCATAGAGAATGTGTCTCCTGTACATCATTCAGTTGAATTGTTCTATACCAATCAGATATCAAACGATAACTGGATGAAATAATGGCTGGTTTAGAGGAAGCCATTTGAACCATCGTGCATTTAGCATGCTGAGGTGAGTGATTCTTCACCAGTACAGACGGAGTGTTTACACTGAGTAATTAAATGAAGTTTATTCATGAGCAATATTATCACTTTAATTAATTAAGTTAATTAATCTGTGGTCAATAAATAAAGAACTGCAAGAACACAAACTTTAAATAAGTTTCAATGTGACTTTTCTTCAGCAGTGGAGTCTTGCACAGTTAGTGTGGATATATGCCATGGTGGTTGACTGCATTACAGTTTGTAATAATGAAAAGAAATTATCTGCATTTCCTTTTCTTTAGGTGTTACACACTCCCTTTGTATCTAGTGTGAGTTTCCTGTCAGTAGTCCAGTTTTAAATACTACTAATTCGTTAAAATAAACTTGACCATTTAAGGCATATTTTTTCCATCAGTTTTAAAGTCAGGCATTTTGTAAAACCATGGAAATGCAACTTAGGTAGTACTGTGATAAGGTAGGGTATAAGATTAAAGTATTATAAAATAAAATAAATATATACTTATCACTGTTATCAGGTGTTAGAATTTGGACAAAATAAACTTTGATGAGGATTGACAGTTGCTTAGGTTTTTATGTATCTATTTTTTATTTTTTAAGGGGTTAGGGTTGAAGACTATTGTAAATGTGTATTAAAAGTTGAATGTCGACATTTATCTTAAGTAATCCCAGAACAAGTAAAGATCTCTGTGCATTAAATATCTGACACTCATGACAAGACAAGAACTAATGACAGCTAAGGAATGTCTGAGAAAAGTCTGGACCGCTTTTTACACACTCGAGCTGATGCATCTAATTCCTTTACATAAATTATTCGACTTCATCGTCACAGAAGGTCATGTAAAGGTTTTCTTCCAACAGAATAAAGCCAGTCAGAGTGACACTTCTCCTTTGGTGCATGCCAAAAATTGCAGCTGCTGGTAGCATCATATTATCGACAGTTGGCAGGCATCTCGAGGAATTTAAAGAAGCTATAAACGAGACAAACACTTGTACTCACACAGTCCCCTGTTTCTACTTGAGCCTTAACAGCACTTTGTTCAGGGATTTCTTCCTTTCCGACACACACAACTGTAGGCTGCAAAGACAGAAAGAAAGATCAAATCACACTTCATGAGGTTCAATGTTTTTTGTTGCTCATAGAGGTCTGATAGGTTTTAAAACATGAACTCAATGAGATCCTTACCACCACATTCAGTGGTACTTTCTCTATGATGACCTTCAAACTGGGAGAATCATTGGAGTTCTCCGGGGCAGCTCGAGCTTGATCATTTTGTCCGCTTGTCAAGACAACTGTTGGAGCGACAGTAGAACCTACAGAATCTCCACTGGATCCATCAGCGGGAGCGGCGCCTTGATCTGACGCAGCAGTGGATACAGGAGCAGCAGGTGTGGTCCCACTTCCTGCGGACATAATACAGAAATAAGGCCTTGACACTTGCTGTGAAAAGTTTTAGCTCTTTGACCGTTAACAGCAGTAATTCAGTCATGTCTTTCAAATGACTGAAAGTTACACAATTGCATTTTTATCCCAAATTTCTCACCAGCATTAAAAGTATTTGCGGATGGGGTTGGTGGGGCTGAAACGTCTTCACATATCACCTCGCCTGTAGAGAAACAAAAAGAAAAACAAAACAAAAAAAACTTGAAGTACTCTCATGTGCATATAGCAAAGATACAGTATCAAGATAGTTTACAATTCCCAGCATTTTCCTTTCTTTTTGCTGAATTTGTGATCCAAGCTAAAGATTCAAAGCAGCGTTTTCTGTGATATATTTGATTAAAGAAATATCAGTAAGTGTGACTGAGATTGCTAATGCAGTTTTCAGGAATACGAAACATGATCTCCTGCACCTTCTTATGTCATTGAACCTCATTCATCAAACATGTTATTTGTCAAGATAAAAAAAAGAAGAAAAAAAACTTAACATCTAAGAGACAATATTTGTAGACAGCAGATCGTGTACTAAAACAATGTAATTGTATGAACCTGTGAAGTACATGTGATTAAATGCCAGCTGGTTGTGCAGAACATTAAAGTCCTTGTCTCATCACTATGTAGGATCTTTTCAACACTTTGTGTGCTTCTAACTTTATAAAAGCATTTTGACTCTTTTAAACAGCTAGTACACAAGACTAGCCTAAGATCGCAGATAGTGAAAAAAGTATATCAATGGGAGCACACATTAGTGGTTTCAGACAGGATAGTCAGATTAATTCATTGCTGTGATACACGTATGAGCCACAACCACGAAAGCAACTTTTTGACTTGCTGGGTTGCTGAAACATGCTGGGGGAATCCCCTTGGCAACTGCAATTACGTTTTTGTTATTATGTGGGAAAAGCCGACCACTTCCTGGGTATTAAGCAAAAATATTCATTTGCTGTGGTTTCTATATTTTTAAGAAACATTATGACATTTTTAATTTGGTTACTTGACATTTACCAACAAATGCTTATGCAAACAAACAGCAGTAGGATTTTCAGCTGGATAATAAGACTAAATGAAGTGACAGTAAATATACTGTATAACACAACAGTTACTCAGATGCAGCTTAAAACCTAGAACAACTGCCATTTAGTTTTTTTCCTCGCTGCCCAGTCCCTTCCTACTTTATCCTAATTCTGGATTGTTTATGCCAGCAAGTATTTCCTGTAGCATGTACATCTATAAAACGCATCTTTGTGTTTTGGTAAATAAATTAGGTGAATAACAACTTTTTAATCACACAAGACTCTGGCCATCTTCTCAAAACATTTAGATACCGCAAGAGTAAAAACATGAATTTGGACACTGGGCATCATGGACTAGTACTGTAGGGAAGATGGATCTCTGATGGCTTAGCTTTAGCGACTCTTGTATGCGACATTATTTTTGGTCCATGTAATTCTGCACAAGATTCCACTGGACAGGCAGGTTTGATTTGGTGCTGTGCAAAAAATGATATCTGTCAGATGAAAGCTGGAAAATTCAGAAGTTCTAATTTGTGGCTGTTGTAACTAATTTTGGGAAAGTAGGATATTAAAATATGAAGATAATACACATTTGCAGAGGTCTTTTGTTTGTTTCTATATTTTTCCTTTTACTGTCAATCTTGTGTTTCAATAACCTTTTCAACCTGAGAATCTGTTCTACAGGTGACAAAACCTAAAATAATTGGGACCATGGTGCCTAAATGACCATTTTTACAGCTTTTTGCTTTATCTGAATCCAACAGTTCATGTGCTGGGATTGACTCGTGAACACGTGGTTTCATCGGCCGCTTTTGGATTTTACACAGAGGCTATTTACTGCTCCTAAATCCATGCCAAGTTTTAAATGAATGAGGCCAATTATGTTTCTTTTAGTATCAAATTTGTCAAGATTTTCATTGTCTTGTTTTTCTCCTTTTTTTAAAGGCAACTTGTAATGTCTGTCTTGTTCTGTTTTATTTTCTGCAGGTTCCCTGTGCTCTACATGTGCCTGTATTGATGGCTTTTTATTTTGGCTCGTTAACTCCTAAACTTTGTGTTCTCTTGTATTTCCTTCTCTGTTTCTCTAGTTTTTCTCTTTTGTTGTTGTTGTTGTTGGTACACACTGCAAAGTGTGTCCAAGAAAACATTTTACCAAGACCTATAAGCTTAGAATGTGGGTCCAAACTAAAATCTTACTTTGCTCTGAGGGTCATTTTTTTCTTAACCAAAAACACACAGGGACCAATTACTTCTACTATGTGCTAGCAGCATTCAGAAGCAGCGTGATGGAGCGTTACAGCTTGTTTTGACTTGGGGTCACAAACTATCAAAAGGGAATGCAGCATGAAATGACACATGACTTGTGTGACACTGGGGCTATTGTGAAAAGTATGAAGCATGCAGAGAGTACAAGGTCAACGCAGAATGTTTTAGATTTACATTTTTGGATTTACATTGCAAATGTAATGACGTGATGTATTACCAATAT